CCTCGTTGCGTCGACTCAAAAGTCACCTCGTTGAGTCGACTCAAAAGTCACCTCTGAGATGAGACAGTGAGAAGCACATAAAAGATTCAGCCCTTGAGACACGAGGGGAGGTAGGAGGAAGTTATGCCAGGCTGCTCCGTTTGCACGGGTTGGCACAGTGCGAGAATCTGTCGGTGGGCTGTAGCAGATGACTGCTGAGACGATGAGAGGCAGTTTAAAGCTGCAGCCTCTGAGAAAGGAGGGGAGGTAATAGGGAGTTATGTCAGGTTGCTCCACTTGCATGGGTTGGCATAGTGAGACGATCTATCTGTGGGCTGTAGCAGATGACTGGTGAAACCAGGAACAGCTTGAAGTCAGGTGGTTTCAAGCGATCAGAATTTCACCTGAGGCAATCACGTGGTGCTCCGCCTCGTTCAGGTTGTTACTGGTGGAGGCCAGAGCCAGCATCACTTGGGCTTCCCACTAGGAGTAGTCCCATATTGCATATAAATTCATCTATAGGGTAATTTACCTGTAGAAATGACGTGGTCATCAGCCTCGTTCAGGTCGTTACTGGTGGAGGCCTACTCGGTAATAGATACAGCTGTATCAATTAGTATATCACCTGAGGCGATCACGTGGTGCTCCGCCTCGTTCAGGTCGCTACTGGTGGAGGCCAGAGCCACCATCATCCCTGCCGCCCAGCTGCTAACGTCGGTGCCCACCAATACGTAGCTCTGCCGGCGTTGGCCATCTCACTCAGCCGCACCCACGAGGGCGTGTTGCTGCCGCCCGGCATGCCGTGGAATTGCACCTGACCGCCCACTTGCCCATCACCACGATGTGTTGAGCGTGAATGTTGATGCTGGGAAGAGATGGGGGGTCCACAAACCTGGGTGGGGGGGACACATACGGAAGCACATGAACCATCGGCTCGCTCACTGTGGGCTTGCCCATCACCATGATGTGTTGAGCATGGATGTTGATGCTGGGAAGAGATGGGGAGTCCAGAACCCTGGGAGTGGTATGGATGGGGAGGGGGGGGGGGACGGGGAGGGAGAATGAGGTGGAGGCTCGCCCACCGTGAGTCTGCTCATCGCCACGACTTGTTGAGCCCTGGCATTGTTACTGGGGGGCGATGGGGAGTCCAGAACCCTGGGAGTACAATGCATGGGGAAAGGGGGGAGGGCGGGGGGGGGGGGGGGAGGGGGAGGGTGGAGGAAGAGAATGAGGTGGAGGCTCGCCTGCAGAGATTTTTTAGAATTCTAAAATCTCTCGCAGGGGCGATGGAGGAGAGTCAAGGACAGTGGGAGCCGCAGCACTAAAGCCAAAGACAGTAGAGAGACTCACTTGAGCCATCCCTTGACAATGACAGAGTGTCTTCACGCTGGCATTGGCACGTCCAGCAGCACACTGGCCCAACACAAAGCCAGAGAGCAGTCACTCACCCACTCACTCACTCACTCACTTGAGCTAGCCCTTGACGGTGAGCGTTTTCACACTGACATCAGCATGTCCAGCAGCACCGCCACACCACAGCACAGGGGATGGTCACGCCCTTTCATCTCTGCAGTCCTGGTGCCCAGAGAAGAGAATCCGCAGTGCACAACAGAGAGCCAGAGAGAGTGCACTCTGTTTGGCACTCACTTGAGCCACCCCTTGACCTTGAGCGTCTTAGCACTGATATCGAGCACGTCGAGCACGTCGCCATGCCGCACGGGATGGTCAAGCCCTTCCATCTCTGCGGCCCGCGCCCCGGGACCCCCAAGAAGCTCGTCTGCCCGCCCCACATGCGCCAGTCGCTCCACCACTTCCAGCCTGGGGAGAAGGGGAGGGGAGCGGGGGGGGGGGGGGGGTGGTTTGGGTTACAAGGGGGGGCGGGAGGGGGAGGGGGGGAGGGGGGAGGGAGGAGGATCGTGTCGTCCCGAAAACCCCTATGAAGTGCTCCAATCACTCCACCGCTTCCAGCCTTGGGGGGGGGAGGGGGAGGGGGGGATGAGGGGAAGGGTGGAAAGGGGGGAAGGGGAGGGGGAGGGGGGGGGAAGCGAGGGGGGGGAGGTGGAGGTGGGAAGGGTATCATGATTCGGTATCTTGGTGGAAAAGTAATTATTACTGATCTCAGCCCCGCTTACTGAATCAAACCAAACCGTAGCTTATGCTTGTCCAGTTGTATTTTGAGAGTGAATCAAACCACACTGTAGCTTATGCTTGTCCAGTTGTATTTTCAGATTGAATCAAACCACACTATAGCTCATGCTTGTCCACTTGTATTTTGAGACTGAATCAAACCAGACTGTAGCTTATGCTTGTCCAGTTGTATTTTGAGACCGAATCAAACCAGACTGTAGCGTATGCTTGTCCAGTTGTATTTTGAGACTGAATCAAACCAGACTGTAGCTTATGCTTGTCCAGTTGTATTTTGAGACTTAATCAAACTAGACTATAGCTTATGCTTGTCCAGTTGTATTTTGAGACTGAATCAAACCACACGATAGCTTATGCTTGTCCACTTGTATTTTGAGACTGAATCAAACTAGACTGTAGCTTATGCTTGTCCAATTTTATTTTGAGACCGAATCAAACCAGACTGTAGCTTATGCTTGTCCAGTTGTATTTTGAGGCTGAATCAAACCAGAATGTAGCTTATGCTTGTCCACTTGTATTTTGAGACTGAATCAAACCAGAATATAGCTTATGCTTGTCCACTTGTATTTTGAGACTTAATCAAACTAGACTGTAGCTTATGCTTGTCCAGTTGTATTTTGAGACTGAATCAAACCACACTATAGCTTATGCTTGTCCACTTGTATTTTGAGACTGAATCAAACTAGACTGTAGCTTATGCTTGTCCAGTTGTATTTTGAGACTGAATCAAACTAGACTGTAGCTTATGCTTGTCCACTTGTATTTTGAGACTGAATCAAACCAGACTGTAGGTTACGCTTGTCCAGTTGTATTTTGAGACTGGTTTGGCTTTGCTAATCAGGTGATTGAAGGGAGGGAGGGAGCGATGACGACGTTGCGTCAGCAAGACACGTGCTATGAACTAAGCTGTGTCAGCGAAGAGATGCTAATTGCGACGAGGCGCCAGCAAGAGATGACATGCCATGTCAATCCATAGTAGTACGACGAAGCCTTGAGGAAGAAGCGTTGGAGGAAGAAGGCTTGGAGGAAGAACTACTGCGGATTGGGGGCGGATTGGGGGTCACCAGGTTTTCCTCACGGGCTGATGGAAGGGCTCAAATCTCCATAGTTTTTTAAAATGGAGACGCTGTTTCCTTGCCTTCCCACATATTTAGAATAAACCTGAGGGCGTGTCCAGCACGTTAATATACTATTCAGTTGGCATGACAGGTACAGATTTAGGTGTGGTAACCCCAAAATCCATGTCTTTTAGGACTCGCTCGAAAAAGTGTGCGTTCTTAGCGGATGCTCTCAAAGCGTGCCAGCAGTTGTATTGCGCACGTTTCGAAAGTGGCTGGAAATCGTGCCCGAAATGAACTCCCACCAGAAATGACAAATCCTGGCTGGCGAAAAGTAAATACACGACTTCGTCATATTCGAGAAAATTCATCAATGCCGTGGCAAAAACAGCGAGGCCTCGTTTTCCAGGCTCGTAATACCATAACTCCATTTCTTTCACCAAGATCTTTTGTTTTTCGCTGCACGGAGCATTTGTCGTATCAAAGGCTGGACACAAGGCCGAGGCAAGCATCCTCTTTGTGGTCGAAAGGTGAGCCTCGCAACATCTATATTCTTCGTAACATTATTCCGAGCACGTAAAAAACGCGTGTTATGGCAAAATAAACGCGATGGATACGCCCTGAACAGAAATGGCCTCATTCCATCCAAAAAAAAAAAAAAAAAAAAAAAAAAAAAAAAAAAAAAAACGTATAGCATATTCGAACACCGTTCATACCCTGATATCGTGTGGGTGGGGGAGCCCTAGAAGTTGAGAGTTATGAAGGGCAAATCTCGAACATCGATCCGAGCCAAACTGGCTAAACAAATGGCAAAGCTTCATCTTACATCCAGGCCTGCCCGTTCGATCGCAACCACCATGTGCGGCTCGCGCGGCACGAGCGGAAGGTGACTACGCAAAGTCTTATGAATGAACAAGCGGAGTAGCACAGAAATTAATAATGAAGTATTGAATCAGTGAATGACGAAATGACGATACAACAAATGGCAAGCCAAGATATAGGAACACCAAAGCTAGTCTAACCGTGAGATGTGAAGGTTCGGGAAGGAGATCGAAGGGTCTCGGAGTGACGAAGCGAGGCCTGGAGAACTCCCGAAGGTCGAGCTAGAAGGTCTAAAGAAGCCGAGGCGGTTCTGTCGGAAAGGTCCGGAACTGTCCCGAGGCTTCGGGTGTGTTCGAGCGTACGCGATAGCAGTACCGCTCGATAAGGAATGGAAAATTCCTTACACCACCCCCCCCCCTTAGCGAAGGTGATCTATATCAGCCACGTGCTTGCACGCAAAATAATTAGCAAGAATCGAAAGTCACTGTAACTTGTTCGAGGGTATCCACGTGTCGTCCTCGCTGGTACAATTGGTCCATCGTATCAGAAAGTCAACGTGTCATCCTTGGCCGTCGATACGAATCCTATGGCTAATTTATTTTTTAAGGCTCTATGGTCGTCTCAGCTGGTGGCCGTACATCCGGGACCAATTGCTGTCGAGCGATGTCCGATGTGTCAGGTACGAAGGGTCGCAACAGGCTCCCAACTTGTTGTGAATACGCCAATCATCTGGTAGGCACAACTGGGCGGTCACCCGCATTACCATCTTCATGATCTTGAATGGGTCACAGAAACGTGGTCGTAATTTCGTCGGTAGTGGCAGCCGTAAGTTCTTGGTGTCCAGAAGGACTAGTTACCCTGTTGCCATTGTAATATCCCGTCGATGTAAATCCGCATACCATCGGGCAGTAGCGTTCGCCTTGCGAATAAGTTCAACAGCTTTGTCTTGAGCAGTCTGTAATTCTTCGACAAACTGATGCGACCGTGGTAATTGACTCTCAACGTTGGTAGAGATAGGTACTGTCGGGTCCATCCCGTAATTGATGTAGAACGGGGAGTGATTAGTCGTAGATGAGGGCGCATTGTTGTAGGAGAATTCCAACATGGGAAGCGCGTCCTCCCATTTGTTTCGGTCAGAGCAGTTTGTCCATATCAGTTGTTCCATCATTTGGTTTGTCCTCTCTGTCTGACCGTCCGTTTGGGGATGATAAGCGGATGAGAATTGTAGGCGCATGCCATACCGAGCCCACATGTCTTGCCAAAAATTTGACGTGAACTTCGGGTCTCGACCGCGTATGATTGCTGCTGGTATCCCGTGTAGGCGAACAACGGTCGAGATGAACAGTCGTGCGGTTTCTTCGGCTGTGATGGTTGTACAACATGGTGCAAAATGCATCGTTTTCGTCAATTGGTCGATGACAACCAATACTGCGTCGTTTTTGCTGGATCCGGCTGGCAGACCTGTAACGAAATCCATCGTCACGTGTTGCCATGGGCGTTGAGGTGGCTCGAGGGGCTGCAAAAGTCTTGTCGGTCGCTGATGTGATGATTTCATTCGCTGGCAGATTGGACACACGGCCACGTAATGCTGCACGTCTGTTACCATATCTGGTTAGTAATAAAAACCATTGCAACGCCTTCTGAGTTTTATCATCCCCAAAATGTCCCGATAAATTCGAATCGTGGACTTCTTGAATTAGTAATTCGCAAATTAGACGATAACTTGGGACCCAAATTCGATCCGTCCCGCTTCGTAAGTAATAGACGCCTTTCCGTGTAGTGATTTGGAGATGGCCGACATTTACAAGTAAGGGGTCAGTCGAATACTCGTGGGTAAATAGTCCACTCAGTAGCGGGTTGCTCTGGGCAACTAGTACTACTGCGAGTTGGGTAGACGGTCTGGAGAGGGCGTCAGCAATATTGTTGGCAACCTTTTTGTATGTGAAATTGGACTCCAGATAGTCCAGCCAGCGTATCTGCCCGGGTTGAGATTCGGCTGCGCCCTCAGGTACTGTAGGGATTTCTGGTTGGTTCGCACCGTCACGTCTGCTCCAATCAGGTAGCACCTCCAGATTTTGAATGTGTGGACAATCGCCAGCATCTCCTTGTCGTATACCTGGTAGTTGCACTCAGCAGATTGCATTTTCCGAGACTCGTACGCGATTGGTTGAAGACCATTGCCGAAATCTTGCATGAGCACTGCTCCGATGGCGATGTCACGTGCGTCGGTGATGACTTCAAAAGGCTGTTACGGGTTAGCAATGCAAAGTACAGGTGGCGACATTTAAAGAGTTTTTAATGCCTCGAACGCAACTTGCTGCTTCTCCCCCCACTCGCAAGAAGTCCCCTTCTCCAGTAGGTCGGTTAGAGGTCCAGTTAACCCAACCATATTAGGTATAAACCGCCTCACGTAATTCACAAAACCCAGAAATGATTGCAGCTGCTGTAGATATGTCGGCAGTTTCCACTCCTGAATAGCCCAAAAACTTTTCGGGTCTATTTGAATCCCCTCCGTGGAGATCACCTGCCCCAGGAACTCCAGTTCTTGTTTTAAAACCTCGCACTTGGAGCCCTTGGTGATGAGACGATTATGCTGCAGCCACTGAAAAACCGCTTCCAAATCCTTTAAATTTTGCTCCCGGGTCTTGCTGTGGATCAGGATATCATCCAAGTAAATTATCACACATTTGTTAAGTAGATCGCAAAACACCCCGTTCATGGTGAGATGGAATGTCGAGGAGGCGTTCATTTATCCAAACGGCATCACCATGTATTCGTAACTCTCGTAGCGAGTACGAAGCGCGGTTTCGTGACAGATGTCAGCGAACACCCGAATTTGATGGTAACTGCCACGAAGGTCGATCTTCGAAAAGTAGCGAGCTCCGCGAAGTTTGTCAATCAGCTCGCCCTTGCGTGCGATTGGGTAGCGCGATTTTATCGTTACCCAATTAAGGGCACGATAGTCCGTACACATGCAAAGTCCACCGTCCCTCTTTGGGGTGAACCAGATCGGTGCTGCGAACGGGGACGTGCTCGGCCGAATAAACCCTTTTGCCAGCAGGTAGTCAAGTTGGTTCCGTAATTCGTGTAGCTCGGGCTGAGTCAGGCGCCATTGAGTTCGTACAGTAGGCTGCATGCCGGGCTCCAACTCGATTTTGTGGTCTTGGGGTCGTTCGGGTGGCAGTCCACTTGGCAAGTCGTCCGGAAAAATATCGGGATATTCCCGAATGATTTTTGCCAAGTCATCTGGGACCGAAGCGCAAAGTTTGTTGATGTCGGTCGCCTCGTTTTCCTCCGTTGATTCGGTTAGATGGACGGCGTGTAAATCCGCTCCATTCTTGACCGCTCGCGTGAGGCACACCGCGTTGACTCGTTTTGAGGTTGTCTCTGCTTCCGACCACGTCGGTAATTTTCCCCAGCCTTTGTCGCACTTCACTGTGCACTCGCCTGTCGTCCAATCGATTTGCGGATTGAACCTTTGAAGCCAATCGCGTCCCAACAGCACATCCTAGCCGTCGAGTGTTGTCGCTAGCATCGGCGTGCTGAAAGCGAAATCTTCGCCACACTTCATATGAACCCGCTCTCGCATATGTCCGATGCGCGTCGAAATTGTCTGCGATCCGGACTTCTTCGTGAAACGTCGCCGGTAGTTGCAAGTGAACCTCGCATTTATTGTTATGCTTCAGGCCCAAAATGAATCGAGCCTTCTTCTCGGAGTCATGCATGTCGGTGATTTGATCGCATAACACCATGAAGACCGACGCATAATCTTGGACAGAACTCTACTGGCGCCAGTTGTCCAGCTTCGTTTGTGCGTTGTCTGAGGCGGATATTGGCTCGAATCATTCACGTAGAGCTGTATCCCTTGCCTTCCACGTGCGACTCTTGGTCGATCCAAATATCGCGATTGACCCTTGGGCAGCAGACCCAAAGTTTCTTAAAAACTCCCCCTCCAATCTAGCGCAGGTCCCCGTAGTGGTAATCTAGCCAGCCAAATTTTTAAATCGTCAGCAGTGATCCCAGTGGCATTAAATAAAGTTCCGCAAAAAACAACCAGCCCGTAACACTAGTATTCTTATCTGTGGGATTGAATGGGGGCGGCATTCTCACTGTCGTCACTATCGGCACGACTGCCGGTGCGGCTATAGTAGCGGCTGCTTCTGGCCGGGCGGCTGCTGCTGCTTCGGCTGCTGCGCGTGCTACCACGTCAGCTGCTACGATGGCTTCGTTGTCCTTACGCTCCTGAGACACCTCACGTGCGATTTCGTCCAAAACGGTTTCGACACGTCCAGTGCTGGCGACCTCCGCTTGGGCGGCAGCTTTTTGGCACGAATCCTCTCGCGCCTGGCGTAACTCGGCAACTTCTGCACGAAGTCGCTCGTTGTCCTCCAGCACTGTAGCCATGTGCGTGTTCATGGCGTTGAACTGCTCCCGAAGCTCGTTGAACTGAGCTTGGTCCATTTGGCGAATGCTCCGCCGGGGCAAGGGGAAATCCATAGTGTGCCTATACTCCGGTAAGCGCAAACGCTATCGTAGTTGGGCGAATTAATCAGCCTAATTCGCGAGCAACCGCTTTGCAGCTTAAATAAGGGACTTACCCCCCCCCCCCCCCCCCCCCCCCCCCCCAAAAATATCAACTCACGAAAACGGATGAGCGAGGAAAGTGGCTCTGATAACCAGGTGTTATAAATGAACAAGCAGAGTAGCGCGGAAATGAATAACGAAGTGTTGAATCACTGAATGACGATACAAGGAATGGTAAGCCAAGATATAGGAACACCACAGCTAGTCTAACCGTGAGATGTGAAGGTTCGGGAAGGAGATCGAAGGGTCTCGAAGTGACGAAGCGAGGCCCGGAGAACTCCCAAAGGTCGGGCTAGAAGGTCTGGAGAAGCCGAGGCGAATATTTCAGAAAGGTCCGGAACAGTCCCGAGGCTTCGGGTGTGTTCAAGTGTACGCGATAGCGGTACTGTTTGGTAAGGAATGGAAAATTCCTTACACGAAGCACCATAGAATGTTTGACAGTAACCTCCGTTATTACCGTATTCCCCCGTATATAAGACCCGTCGAAATAGTCAGCCCATGGGTGGCATATGCGGGGGATAGCTTATGATATGTGTCAACTTATACATATCATGCATGTAGAAGTTATAGGCTAGGATCGGTGTGTGCTCTTAGTGAGTATAACCCAACTGCTATATGTTCCCTGTTTCCCCTCTAGTAATTCATTCACGTATTCTAACATGGTATCGAGTAGGTTAGGTTCACCCGCCCGCTTCCGCCCGCGCCCTAGTCTCTCGTCCGCCCCTAGCCGGCCCCCTGGCCGTCGCGTCCGCCCCTAGCTGGCCCCCTGGCCGTCACGTCCGCCCCTAGCTGGCCCCCCTGGCCGTCGCATTCGCCCCTAGTCAACCCCTTGGCCGTCGCGTCCGCCCCTAGTCAGCCCCCTGGCCGTCGCGTCCGCCCCCAGCCGGCCCCCTGGCCGTCGCGTCCGCCCCTAGCTGGCCCCTTGGCCGTCGCGTCCGCCCCTAGTCGGCCCCCTGGCCGTCGCGTCCGCCCTCAGCTGGCCCCCTGGCCGTCGCGCCCGCCCCTAGCTGGCCCCCTGGCCGTCGTGTCCGCCCTCAGCTGGCCCCCTGGCCGTCGCGTCCGCCCCTAGTCGGCCCCCTGGCCGTCACGTCCGCCCCTAGCTGGCCCCCCTGGCCGTCGCGACCGCCCCTAGACGGCCCCCTGGCCGTCGCGTCCGCCCCTAGCTGGCCCCTTGGCCGTCGCGTCCGCCCCTAGTTGGCTCCCTGGCCGTCGCGTCCGCCCTCAGCTGGCCCCCTGGACGTCGCGTCCGCCCCTAGTCGGCCCCCTGGCCGTCGCGTCCGCCCCTAGCTGGCCCCCTGGCCGTCGCGTCCGCCCTCAGCTGGCCCCCTGGCCGTCGCGTCCGCCCCTAGTTGGCCCCCTGGCCGTCGCGTCCGCCCCTAGCTGGCCCCCCTGGCCGTCGTGATCGCCCCTAGCCGGCCCCTTGGCCGTCGCGTCCGCCCCTAGCTGGCCCCTTGGCCGTTTGCGCCCGATCCTAGCCGCCCCCCTGGCCGTTCGCGCCCGCCCCTAGCTGGCCCCACTGGCCGTCGCGCCCGCTCCTAGCTGGCCCCCCCTGGCCCCACGCACCCACTCCTGGCCGGCCCACTGACCGTCGAGCCCGCTCCTAGCCGGCCCCAGCAGCGCCCGCCCGGCCCTCAGTAGCGCCTGCCCGGCCGCCCCGCGCGTGCTAAGACCCTCCTAGCGCCCGCCCGATCCCAGTGCGCCCGCCCGGCTTCTCCTCCTGCCCGCCTGGCCCCTCCTCGTGCCTACTCGGCCTGCCGTGCCACCTCGGGCCCCGTGTCCTCTGCTAGCCCGCGCTGGGGCGCCCCTGCAGCCGCCCTACTGGAGAGTGCTGCCGCCGTGTCCCCATGCCGCTGTGCTCCTGCCGAGCTGTGGAGCTGTGCCGCTGTGTCGCTGAGGAGCTGTGTCGCTGACCCTGCACGATGGCTGACTTCGTGCTCCGCCTGTGCGGTCTGGGACTCACACGACGCAGTAGCTCATGTTGCTATCAGTCACGCCCTCCTTGTGTCTGAGCGCTCGCGTTTCGCTACGGTTGATACGGCCAAAGCTTATTTAGACGCTGTTGTTGCTCGCTATTCCACGCCTGCATCCGCTTCTGCCGGCTGCTTGCTCTTCCCGATGCTGTTCCCAGACCTTGCTGCCTTCCCTACTGTTGCAGACTTTGCCACTCACTTGCGTGCCCTAGAGTCTCGCTATCGCACTGCCAGCACTGCTGCCCAGCTCACTGCTCTCCCCCCCCCATTCTGCATGACCCTCTATTTTATCGCAATGCACCTGCCGGACCGCCTAGCTAGTGCCCGCGACCGCTTCCTTAGCCAGCACCCGGGTGACCTTACTCTAACCGCCTTTGTCGACACCCTCACCGAGATTGAGACTCGCCAGCGCACTATCGCTCAGTCGAGCGGTGCGCCAGCAGTCTCTATCTTTGACGGCTGTGCCCCCTCCCAGTGCACGTTTACTGACGTTTCGGCTGCGGTCGCCACTGCGACCCCTCTTACCGAGACGGCTGCTGTGGTCCACCCGCAGCAGCGCCCGCGCCGCGTTGGCCGTGGCCGTCAGGGAGGTCGTGGTGGTGGCGCTGGTGGTGGTGGTAGTGGTGGTGGCGACGGTAGTACCCCTGAAGGGACTACCACCGGTGGGCAGGAGCAGTCGCAGTCGCCTTCGCAACAGGAGCAGCCCCCGCAGCAGCCGCCGCCGTCCCAGCAGCAGCCGCCGCAGCCGTGCGCTCGTCTCCCACCTGGTTGGCCCGGCACCTCCGGAGGTGGTGGCCATGGTGGTGGCCCACGCAGCTTGGCGTCTACCGGCAGCTCCGGTGCTGTGACATGCCAGTACCAGCTTCAGACCGGGCCTCTCCGCGGCACTCTGTGCCGCCGCCCGCACCCGACCGCCCGCTGTTTCCGCCGCCTCGACGATCTCTTTCGTCGTCGCTTTGGCCCGGCCCCGGACCTCCCCGACTAGCACAGCCTGCTTCGCCAAGGCGTACCAATTGAGTTAGATATGGATCAGATAGGTGCTGCTTTGCATGTCTTGTATACTGACGCTTCTAGTCTTGCTGGATCTTATTGCCTTGAGTACTCTAGTTTAGGTGTAGCACCCTTGTGTAGCTTAGCTTCCCCTGTTGCGTCAGGCGTAGGACTGCCTAGGTTGCCTAGCCTCGTTCCTACACCGGCATCGTCCCCGGCCTCTGCTACTGCCTCGCTGTCCTTCACTCTCGACTCCGGTGCTTCTGCCTGTTTCTTCCGCGACCGCTCCACGCTCACGCCGCTTACCGCGCCTGCTGTTGTGGCTCTCGCTGACCCCTCTGCGGGTCCTGTCATCGCTCGCAACTCTACTTCCCTTCCCTGTCTAGCAGTCCCCTCGGGCTCCCTTACTGGCCTTCACGTTCCCTCGTTCTCCAGGAACCTGGTTGGTGTCGGCTGTCTTCAGGACCTCGGCGTCACCACTACGATCCCTGCGCACGAGCGGTTGGCTGTCTGTACCGAGGTTCCCCCCTTGCGACGTTCCCCCGGGACCCGATGTCCGGTCTGTTTACCCTCGACACCGCTCCCCCCCCGGTTGGTGCGTCCTCCCAGGTCGCTGCAGCGTGCTCGTGTCGGTCACTCACCCGTCCCTTTTGTGGCACCACCGCCTAGGTCACCCTGCACTCCCGCGTCTGCGTCATATGTCCCAGCACGGTCTTGTCTTAGGCCTCCCCGCGTCGCTCCCCGCCCTTCCCCTCTCACCTGCTCCACCGTGCACGCCTTGCGTCGAGGGCCGGCTCCGCCGTGCCCCTCACTCCTCCTCGCTTCGCCCTGCCACTGCTCCCCTTCAGACCCTGCACCTGGACGTTTGGGGCCCAGCCCCCGTCCCCGGACCGCGTGGCGAGCGCTACTTTTTTGTGCTCATCGACGACAACACGCGCTATACCATGGTGTTTCCCCTGGAGCGGAAGGCTGACGTGCCCGACGTTCTTCTCCCGTGGGTTGTGGCTGCGCGTCTTCACTGCGGTCTCCCCGTGTTGTGTCTCCACTCTGACCGTGGCGGCGAGTTCGCTTCTGGTCGGCTTGGACAGTTCTGTCGTGCGGAGGGCATCACCCAGTTGTACACCTTGCCGGACTCGCCACAGCAGAATGGGGTGGCTGAGCGCCGCATCGGCTTGGTCATGGAGGTGGCTCGTACCTCCATGATCCATGCCGGTGCACCCCATTTTCTGTGGCCGTTCGCCATTCGCTACGCCGCTCACCAGCTTAACCTGTGGCCACGCTCCCAGCGGCCGCAGGTTTCGCCGACCCTCCATTGGACCGGGTCCCCTGGTGACGCGTCTGCGTTCCACGTCTTGGGCTGCCTTGCTCACGTTCGTGCCTCTGGCAGGGACAAGCTCACTGCCCGCACTGTCCCCTGTGTCTTCCTTGGTTTCCCCATGGACTCGTTTGACTGGCTCTTCTACCACCCGCAGTCTCACCGCTTCCTCCACTCTCGTGACGTCACCTTTGACGAGTCTGTCTCCTTCTACCATCACTTCCCTCATCGAGGTCTCCCGGTTCCCCCCCCTTGTTCCTTGCCCCCTCTCCCCCGGTAGCCCCTCCTCCCCTCCCGCCGCGTCCTGCCCTGTCTGGTGTCTCCCATGTCACTCCCCTCCCGTCAGTTGTCCCTGATGAGGAGTCTGCTGACTCTGGTGGTCCCCCCGCCCTGCCTTTGCCGCGTCCCCCTTCCCTGGTGTCCCCGCCCCGGCTGTCGCAGTCGCCGCCGTCGTCGCCGCCGCCGCCGCCGTCGCAACCGCTGTCGCAGCCGCCTTCTCCGCCGCCGCCGCTCTTGGCCTCTGGGGGTGCTGGCGCTGAGGAGGGTGTTCGTCCTGCGGCTCCTCGTGTGGTCTGTCTCGGCGGGCCTGGGGGTGCCGCTGGGGCTGGAGAGGGTTCTCGCTCTGGGGGTGTTAGTTCTAGGGGTGCTGTTGTTGAGTGTTCTCCCGGAGGTCGTAGTGCCCCTGCCGGCTCGAGGGTCGAGCACCAGCCGCCGCACCAGCCGCCGCACCAGCCGCCGCAGCCGTCGCCGCCGTTCTCCGCTCTTCGCCTGCTCAGCCTCCCTCCCCTGACCGCTCGCCGGTGTCTCCCCCACCTCCTCCTCCCCTTCTTGTCTACGGCCTTGTGTTCCCGCCCCCGGACTCTTCTCCGGCCCGTCTTCCTCCTCGTTCCCCCCTTGTGTCCCCTCCGATGTCTCCTGACCCTACACCTCCGTCCCACGTTTGGTCTCGCCGTCCCTCACATTCTCGTCCCGTCTCCCCTGTCTCGCGCTCCCACCCTATGTTACTCCGTTCTCACTCGTCTCGTCCTCCCCTCCTCCCCTCGCCTCCTCCCTAGTCTCTTGTTGTTGCACCTCCCCCGCTGTCTGACTACCTCCATGCCGCTCGTCCCCCTTGTGTCCCGTCTGTTCCTGTCTCTCGCCTTGACGCGCTTGTCGCTGCTGTCG